AATAAGGGATAGACAGCGAAGTGACTATCTAGTGGCCTCATGCGTCTTTGTACAAACTCTTACTCATCCTTCAAAATCCCTGGGACATCCACACTACTTGATAAATAGTTCTGTGACTGCACTGTTGAAACTTACTGTCATTATTTTTGCTTATACTCCTTGGTTTATTCTCCATTTGTGGCTGTGGCCCTCGCTGCTAGCACAGACTGAAAAATAGGAAGTGTTCAATAAGGGACTGGATAGGGTCCAGGGAGATAACTCAGTAGAATAAGCACTTGCCTGGCAAGTGCAAGGGCCTGAGTTCAATCCCACGATTCTGCCAAAACAAACAAACAAACAAACAAACAAACAAAAACCAAACAAATAAACAAAAAAAAGGACTGGAATTGAAACATGGTATTAGCAGACAGGAAGTCTTGGTAAGTCAGCCACTGCCACTACATGGTGGAAAAGCAAAGGGACCATTTCCCTGCTGTGGGGCAGGGCTGGAACAAAGTGACCGGATTCCCACAGAATTTCCCCTTGGAAAATTCAGCTCACATTTGGACATCCAGGTCAAGTGAGAAGAAGGCAAATAAACAGAATAAGGAAGAGACAGTTCTGGTATGAAGTGCAGAAGCCCCAGCTTGGGACAGGGCTACTCCCTGGCACAGGGCCTGCAGCAAATCCATCCTCCTCACAATGGAAGCCTATTTGTTTCTTTTCTTTTTTTTCTTCCAGTACTCGGGATCAAACCTGGGACCTCTGCACTGAGCTACATCTTCAGCCCTTTTATTTTGACACCCAGTCTTACCTCAGACTGGGCTCGAACTTGCAACACTCTAGTCTCAGACTTCTAGAGCACTGGGTTTACAGCCTGATTCTATTCTGCTATTTTGTTTCGTTTTTACTGGTTTTTGTTTCTTTTGTTTTTGAGAGAGGGTCTTGCTATGTAGTCCAAGCTGGCCTTGAACTCAAAGTGGTCCTTCTGCCTCAGCCTCTTGAGTGCTGCTATTACAGGCATGCATCTGCACAAGCCGTTGGGCCTGGCTCACCCGCTCCACCCCTGACTTGCTGAGGGCCTCAGACAGGTCCTGCCTCTGGCAACCGCAGAATGGACATGGTACCCCCAACTTTGCTGTGTTGCAGTGGGGCTAGAGGCAGCCCTGGCACCCACAGGCCTATGCATGGAGCCATTGGCAATGGTGGCTGCAGTTATCAGGTAATCTAACCCCTTCCTGTCCCACTCTGGTCCCCACACAGGAAGTCTCATTCCATTCTGAGCTGTTAGTCCCATGCTCAGACAGGGAGGGACAAATCCCAATCCTACAGACCAGGTCTTTGCAGAGACTTCTCCCTCCCTCCCAAGGGCAGGGTTCCTGCAGCCTGGGCCTGCTTTGTATCCAGGGTCTGGTGGAATACAGCTCAGCCCTGCCCTCTAGATGTGAGCTCCAAGGGTTTCCTTGGCTCCAGGCCCCCTGCCACGGGTGTGGGGGTGGAGTGGGGTGGAGGGTGGGGCCATCAGGCAGGCCCAGCCCCGTCTCTCCAGGGAGCAAGACATGGCTCAGTCCCAGACTGGACTGAGCACCTCCTCCTCCAACCTCTTCATAAAGTCACCCTGCGAGGCCCCTCCCCGTACCCCAACCCTTGGAGGCATTCACCACGAGGGAAAATAGGCCACAAAGCTTCTAGGGACAGATTCTTTTGTTTGCTACTAATCAAACTTTTAGGAGCAGGGGCAGGTGGTAAAGTTACCTCAAGCAGAAAGCCCAAGGAAAAGCTTTAACAGCCAAGAACCACGGAGAACTCAGACAGCTTACCCAGGCTGGCATTGGTGGTCAGCTAACTGCAATTCATACCCAGAAGGGGAGTTCTCTGCCTGCAAAACTGCACAGGTGACTAGTCCATCCAACTCCTTCTCTCCTGCCTACCTCCTGAAAGATCCACAGGGTGGGCTCCCCCAACTGGCAAGCCCTGTGAGGAGGTCCTCCCACTCCCACAGCATGAGCACAGCATCTTCAGGAAGGAAGGGCAGACCGGCTATGCTGGAGAGACCCCAGGCCCCCAGAAACACAGCAGAACTGGGAAGCTTGTTCTGCAGATAGGAAATGGAAAATCAGGCCTCCTGTGCCCTGCAACTTCTTCCTGGTCCAATACACCTGACACCTATCTGGTCACCCCCCAGGGATGGAATGCTCACTTTTGCCACAAGTTGCCAGTTCTACTGTTGGCGCTATTTGAAAGTCCCTAGTCCAGCTCTTCACACCCATTGTTATCTTGTACTCTAACTCCTGTGCCCTCTCCTCCCACATCCCACTGACCTGCTAAACAAGCATGGGCCACTCTATCAGCAGGTACCCAGCTATGCCAGGCACTGGGCTCATTCTCATGACTGCCCTGGACACCTCACCTACTCCCCAGTAGGCTCTGCCTCCACTCCTTTTTGCCCATCCAGGCTCAAGACAAAAGATCCATCTCCTCCATCAAGTATAGCTGCCCAGATCCTTCAAGTTGATCCCAAGGCCGGGAAACTTGTAAAAGGCAGGATGGCTGCCAAGAAGAGAACACTGATTCTGTGGCCCCTGGAGCCATGAGTGAGACCATTCACAACAACCTGGGTGCACTTGTGATGCACAGCAGAAGCTGAGGCTCAGGAGGGTGAAGCAAATGTGTAAGGACACACAGGACAAAGTGGCAGAGCAGAAGCCAATGGAAGCCAGTGTGACCCAGTGGCTTGCCTGTCTCCACATGGAAACCTGGGGCTCCACTGGGTCCTAGCCAGCTGGGTCCTTGGTCCACTCAGTTTCGATTCAGAGGAAGACTCCACTCCCCTGGGGCACTTTACCATTTTTGGAGAAGTCAGCAAATCCAAAAGGAAGAGCACTAGTCCTGCTGAAGGATGAAGGTGTTGTAGCTGCAAAGTGTGAGATTTAAAAAAAAAAATTCCAGAGTTTTTCCTGTAGTTCCAGGGTATCTGAGAAGGGGGCTACACCATCATACACCACTATGTATGCTGTGCTCCCTTTGAATGCCTTGTGACATGGTGCAAAGCCCAGGTAGAAAGCCCAGCACATCCAGCTTGTCCTCTCCTCTGTGATGTCCCACCGGGCTGCACCAGCCCTGGCTTCTTTGATGGCCAGAGAGGCACCCAGGGCTGTGGATACCTCCTGGGTGCTATCTACTGGCCTCCCCAAACCAGGGCCAGGGTCCAGATGCTTGGAGAGGGCACCACATATAATCTCATTTTTCAGGTAGGAGAACATGAGAGAGAGAGAGGAGTGCCTTTGGGGGGTGCAAAGGGAAGGAGGGGATCATAAAATGAATGATAGACAGTTGTGCATGCCTGTAATCCCAGCTCTCTGGGTGGCTGGGACAAGAAGATCAAAATACCAAGCCCAGCCTGGGCAATTAAGCAATTTAGTAAGACCTGGAAAAGAGAGAGACAGAGGTGGTAGGGTGGGAAGGAAGGAAGGAAGGCAGAGAACAAAGGGAGGGAGGGAAGGCAGGAAGTAGGGAAAGGTGGTGGCATCTGGTCTCTGTGGATCCTGCCAAGGAAATGGGTGTGATCTGATGCCCTGCATGTACACATCCACCACCCGTTGTTTCTCCCAACTCCCTAAGGTACCTCTCATAAGAAGATGAGTGCAGGAACCCCCAGCTCCAGCTGCTATGCTCCCTTCGAATGCCTTGTGACGTGGTACAAGTGCCTCCCCTTTCTGGGCCCCAGAGCCTCCTCTACAAGGTGCACGCTGGAGTAGGGCTGAGCTTTTCTAAATCTCTACAGCATCATCACCCTGAACACTACAGGCACTCAACCCCTGCTGATGGCAAGTGGCTTGTTCACTATGGTGTTAACTGGGAGGGCTTGGTGGAACCAGGAGTCTGGGACTTCTGGAAGGGGGTCAAAGCAAAATTATCAGGGGTTGCAGCTTCCCGGGACAGACAGCCATGAGCCTTCGGGGAGCAGAAGAGACTAATCCTGGAAGCAGGACCTCTGCACTGTGTGGAGGCCTAGACTGAGGAGCTAATCCTTCGGTGTTAGGCTGACAAATGAGTTCCCCACAGCCTACATGTGTTAGGGGCTCTCCTTTACCCTCACGGTCCACCACCGGCAGTGCCTCCTGCCTCTCCCAGGTAAGCTACTGGAATCAGCAGGAGTGTGCAGGGCTGTCTGGGTATTGTACTTTGAGGACAGCTGTCCAGCACCAATCACAAGCTCCAGAGCCCTGGGGTACCTGTGCTCCCTCAACATCTATACCCTCATACCTTCTTTAAGCCCCTCCTGCTGGCCCTCCAGAAAATGCAGGCCAAGATCAGAGCTGGAATATCTGCTGGAAGAGTGAACTGGGCCCTGGAGAGCCTTCATGCTATAAGCAAGACCCTGTGAGTCAAGGGGAATGAAAGGACCTCCTGAGGTATCCCCTGTGTCTGCTACAGCGCTCCCAGGTGGAAGGCTTGCCTGCCTCCATGCAGAACCACAAAACCTCCTCTTCCTTCCCTTTCTTCCCAGGGAAGTGCATTGTTCTGCAGGCCCCAGCCCTGTGCCTGCCCATGCCCAGTGTGTTGCTCACATCTTCCCTGCTGCAGGCTGCTCAACATCTCTGCTAGAGGGGGTTCAGGAAGTGTCTTCACTTCCTCAGGGGTCCCCAGTGGACACCTTGCTCCTGTCCACTTGCACGGAAAGCAGAGATCCAATTTAAAGTTCAGGTGAGGTAGGAGCTGCCCTGGGCTGAGCGCCTTCCCCATGGCTGGTGAGCTGAGCCTGTGTCCTGCACAATCACAGCCACATGCTCCCTAAGCCTGCACCGCAGGGTAAACCCTTGACTGCAGTTTCTCATTTCATTTCACCCCCAGAGGGCTGGTGAAGCTGGTTTTACAGAAGTTGAAGTTGAGGCTTGGGGCAGATCTTTGCACAAAGCCAACAGGTCAGGTGCCAATGCTGCCCATGCTGAAGCCCGCTGATCCTTGGCCTCTGACCCGGGCCTCCATGCTCCCTTCTCTTGGTCTCCACCCCCACTGACCTTCTTTGGGCGCATCTGCATCCCACACACTCCACATCTGCACGAAGAAGAAGGGTGTCCAGCACACGATGAAGGCCAGCACGATGATGAAGGTCATCTTGACCGTGCGGATCTTGGCCTTGGAGATAAGCTTGACGTTGCTGACTCTCGCCAGCGTTGCTCGCCCTGCACCGGTCACGGTGGAGTCCTCGGGCCCCTGGGCGGCGGCCGCAGCGGCCGTCTTGAGCCGCAGATTCTGCCAGATCTTGAAGCTGATGAGGCCATAGCAGGCGGCCAGCACGATCACCGGCACAATGTAGACAGACAGTGTGATCCATGTGACGTAGGCCTTGGGCCCCCAGGGCTGGATGAAGACTGCCCAGCAGTCAAAAACGCCCTCGGCCACCTCGCGCAGGGAGAAGATGTGCACCTGCGGCACGCTGGCCACCAGACAGCCCAGCCACGTGGCAAGCACAGCCAGGCGGTCAGTGCGGCGGCGCAGCGAGCGCAGAGGCTGGCAGATGGCCAGGCAGCGGTCCAGCGACATGAGCAGCAGCAGGTAGGTGGAGGCGAACATGCCTACCACCTGCAAGTACTTGACGAGGCGGCACAACAGGTCAGGCCCGTAGAAACGGAAGGTGATGTCCCACAGCAGTTGCGGCAGCACCTGGAACACGGCCACCACCAGGTCGGCGATGCTCAGGTGCTTCATGAAGAAGAAGAGGCGAGAATGCTTGTGGCGCGTGGTGCGCAGCGCCAGGAGCACGCACGCGTTGCCGCTCAGCGCCAGGAAGAGGATGAGGCACAGCACCGCCACCTCCACGCGCGCCAGGGCCTCGTTGCGCCTCGGGGGTCCGGCCGTGCTGTTGCTCTCGGAGCCCGGGGACTCGGTGCTCCCGTTGGCTGCGTCGGCGCTCCAGTTGACCGCAAGCGCGCCTTCCATCCTCTGGTCCAGCGTCGCGGGCCGCGGGTTCCCCACAGGGCCACCCCGACCCTGAAAAATAACGCAGAGTCGTGAGACGCAGACTGTGCGGCTCCGCTTCCGATGCTCACGGGACGCATTTGTCCCCTTATCAGGGGCCCTAAATCCCAAATCCTTTGAGATTCCAGGCACTATCTCCGGCCACCCCAAATCCTCCTTTGAACAGCGGCAACAGGGCAGAAAGCCTTTACCTGTGAGGGGCTCAGCGCTTCCCCTGGGGCACAGGGGTGGATCAGCACCCACCGCATTTCCTCTGCCCAGCCAGCCGCTATGGGGACCAAAATGCCCAGCACTGCCCCATCTGCGCCCCTCGGCATGGCTACCTACCGCGGGCTACCTAGCCGCCCCCGTCCTGAAACCCTCACCCTGTGCGTCCTACACCTCTGGCCGGGGATGCCCCTTGTGGGACCGTCCTCCTTAGCCCCCAACTTCCATACCTGCCCTCCTAGAGTTCTGTCCACTCCCTCTGGGAGACCGCGCCTCAAAGCCCGCCCCAGGATGCCACATCGCTGACCGCAGGACCCTGCAGGGTCTTGGCCCACACCCACGACACTCCTCCGCAGCCCCCAAACCTGCAGCCGCGGGCCCCACTTCTTACTCGGGAGTTGTCACCTGCCCTCTACAGCCCGTGAGTCCGCGTGCAAGACCCAGCACCCGCACGGAACCCGCAGGTGGTGATGAAGTTGGCTCCGGGGAAGTTGCGCCGCTGCTGATGCTCCGAAGACGCCGGTCCGCCGAGCAGGGTCGGGACGCAGTAGGTCGCTGCACTGGGTTTCGGGTCGGGCACCTCGGCTGGATTGCCCTTGCCCGCGGCTTTGCTCGCTATTGAGTGGAAAGGAAGGTGCACCGAGAGCTCCGTGAAGCTGTGCGCGCCCGCCGGGCAGGAGGTGCAAGGCGGTCGCTCTCGGTGGCGGTCCGGGATGCACTACCACGCGAGCCCGCTGGGGTGTGCAGCGGAGCCGGAGCTTGCAGGTGCTGGGCTGAGTGAACGCTTGTGATTCTTTTGCAGTGGTTTAAAACCGCCAGGGGAAGGCACTTGTAAATAACCCGCCTTGTTTCTTCCTTTCTTGGCTTAAAAGCTCCTGGCCCTCTCGGAGATGCTGAAAATACAGTGCTGATGATGAAGCTACCGAAGCATTTAATTGGTATTTCCCAAACTAAAGTTCATTTCAATACTCCCCCCACTTTTTTTTTTTTTTTTTTTTTTTTTAAATTGAACTTGTAGAATCAGAAATGCCTTCTGTTCCAAGGACCACTGGGAGAGCTCTGCATCTGTTAAGCGGCCTTGGGTGAAAATCTCAAGCCTCCCCACATCTACTTCTATTAAAAGTGATTGTACTTGTCTGTGGACCCAAAGTCACTTGGACTACCTTACCATTCTTCAGAATTAAAATCCTAAATAGTGGCAAAGGAAGATGAAATGTTAAAGACTGCTTCTCGCGTCCTTGCTCCTTTTCTATTTTAAAAATCTTTCTTTCCTTTAAAAGTAATTAAAGAATTAAGGCGAGAGGGAGACCAGAATTAAAAAAAAAAAGAGTGGGGTTATTTAAAGTAAATTAAATGCATATTTAAAGTGCATTAAATGAATATTTCCTCCTGACTTTTCACTTCTTCCTCTTTTAATTATGTGGAAAGAACTGAGTCAGGCAAAGGCCGAGCTTCCTGCATCCACAATTACAGGCCTGTGCTGCGATGTCTCCTGCACAGCCTCACAGTTCCTGACCCCAGGTCTCTCTGAGTGAGCGCCCAAGCAGGTTTGAGCATTCTGGAAGCATGGCCAGGTGGCAGCAGGTGAAAGTAGCCTTTTTCTTGCCTTTGGTGGTTGTGTAACAATATTATCAGCAGTGTCTGTCATACAAATTACAGATTAAAGTTCCAGAACGCTTAGGTGAGATGAGAATTAAGTGACCGTCAGAACCTTTCTTCCCCCTGGGCCTCAGTTTCTCCATGTGGGAAATGAGAGTGCTGAGCCAGAGTGGTACTGCCTGAGGTCCCATCCCTCTGGTCTTCTGAAGCTGTGTTACCTATGTTGTCCAAGAGGTTAATCATTGCAGGTTAAACCTCCGAGCCCTAGCCTGTGGCTAGACGGGGAGTCACTTTCCTTAAGAACTGATTCGTACATCTGGGAAGGAAAGCACTGAGCTTGTAAACCTCAGCCTGCTCTTCTCCTGGAAGGGAGCTGCCTTTCATTCAGAGTACAGGGATCTGAGTCACCTTCCTCTCCAGGAACCTGCTCCTCTACCCCTGGGCACAGCCTTGTGTGGTCTCTGTGTGGTGACACCTCAGGTGAGATGGCACTAGGACCATTTGATCTCAGGCAAAAGCCAAATTCTCTAATTTAGTCTTCATCTGAAGCAAAAATTGACAGTGAGATCCTCATTCCTTCTCTTTTATCTTTCAGTGTTTGCAGAAACAAGGCAAAAATGAGGTGCTGTTTACTAACAACCACCGACTCCAGAAGCTCCTAATGATGAGTGAGACAAGCCTGCACCCAAGAGAGACAAGGTCCGAGACCATGCTTGAGGGCTCCCTTTACAAAAAAGGCAGCTGGATTCTGAGGCTTCAGGATGAGTCTCCCAGAAAGCAAAACAAAAGAGGCCAGAGAGTTGAGTAGGGCAAAGGTGTTGTTTTGGTGGAGGGGCTAACAATGTTTGTGGCTGGAGGAACCTTGGGGTGCCTGGCACATCAGCAGAAGTTCAAAAATATTTCTAGAGGCCACACAAGGAAGTAATTCCATGCTCCCTCTCATGAGGGGAGGAATACTTGCCCTGGTGGTATCCAAGAGGGAAGGTTAGGATCGAGGGACTCTGAAGCGTGAGGTGAAGAAATTGAGTTCTTTTTCATTCCTGTCGATTTCATCTGGGAGAAGTCTGATGGAAAACAGTCATGAAGGTGCCCAGGTGGTTGAGGTTTGGGACAGCAGGTGGCAGGGCGGGATGTGGCAGAACAACATTGCCTCCTGGAAGAAGCTGAGAGCAACAGGAACGAAGGGAGGGAACTTCTGACCTGGAGACTTTGGTGGTCCAGGCAAGAGTTGCTGTGGGAACAGGTGATGTCATTGGAGGTTGTAATACCAGGGTTCTCCAAAGTGACAGAGCCATTAGGACATGTGGATATAGAGAAAAGTTAAATATTCAGTGTCAAGGAACTGGCTCACATCATGGAGGTTACAAAGCCCCAGATCTGTAGCCCAAAGAAGAGCTAATGCTGCAGTTCAAGCCAAGGACACGAGCTGCAGGGTCCATCCTGCTCAGGGGAGGTCACTTTTTGTATATTTAGTGTAGGTCTTCAGCTGATTGGGTGAGGCCCACCCTGCACCCAAAGCCCGCCCACTTAGATGCTCATCTCAGCCCCATCCCCTCACAGTGTCTGGCCACAAACCATGACCCAGCCAGGTTGACCTGTACAATGAGCCATCATGCAGGGACTCTCAGGAACCACTGTTTCTACATCTGCCTGGTAGCTGGGCATCTGGAAGGTAGGGCCAGGGTTACACACCTGTAATCAGAAGACTGAGGACACCGCTTCAGGATCCTTCCATATGTGTAATATACATAAGGACAGTAGCGAGGGAGAAACAAGCAAGCACCATGCAGTTCCACTCTCTCCAGGTCAGGGCCAGGCTGCTTAGGAAGGAATCGCACCTTGGGGTGAACTACACAGGGCTCACCTCTACCTCTGGGAGTGGGTGCTAGGTGATAGCATCTCAGAAACATCTCTTAGACACTGGTCTCTGCTCAAGGGCCTCATGCTACGGTCAAGTGGAAGGGAGTGATAATCACCTCTCCTCTCTCCCCAGTGCCTCCCTCCCATGATCTCTACATCTCTGCTAGGGCTCCAGCTCCAGGACGAGTAACACACTGGTGTACAGCCTGAGAATGCACTGGTGCAGTAGCCCTGCGTGGGCAAGCTTGGCCCTGGCCTTCTTACCTCAGCATGGCATTGCGAGGCAGGTTTGCCTGGCTGCGGGGGCTGAACCACGAAGTGCTTGTGTCTGCTGCAAGCTCATGACGTGCAGTCGTAACTCTCCCATTCGCCCTCCAGCCTGCCACACTGCGGATGCCTTCTCAGCCTCTGCTTTTATTCCTGTGCTTTTGGAGGGTTGAGAAAGTGAGAAAAACATGTTTTCATGTAAGACAGTGCTTTGAACTTGCACAGGTAATTCTGGGCTGGTCTATGTGCTGCCTACGTGGCCAAGTCACTGAGCCTGAGACTCAGTTTACCTAGGGCGCTGAGATGGTGGGACTGTGTGAGTAGACAAGGTGTTGCACAGACATCTGTAAGGATTTTGCAGACTGCTGTCTCTTTTTCCACACTGGCGACCTCCCTCCAGGACATTCTATGAGAAGAGCAATGTCTGGGGCAGTCAGCCCCCATCTATTCATTTTCCTTGAGTGAGCATATGTGTCATCAATTCAGCTAGAAAAATGAGCGTGCGTGTGTGTGTGTGTGTGTGTGTGTGTGTGTGTGTGTGTGTGACTGTGCCAGGCAAGGAAGCACTAGATCTTTACCTTTTCAGAGAAGCCCTTCCAGACCCTGGGCTCATGGAGCATGTGTCACTTCCAGGCTTCTGCAGGGGAGCACCTACCACCTAGGACATGAATGTACTCAGCCTCCCAGTTCAGCCCCAGCACCCAGATGCACTCCCAGGTGTTGGTCCTCTATTTGTGTTCCACATCCACCTATCTATAAAAATGTACTAAGAACATTCCTTAATAGATCAATCACCAGAGTGGCAACCTTGCTTCCTGGAACAGTTTTATGGAAATCAAACTGCAGGAGGGCTCTCTGGGAGAAGTGTGGTACTCCTGCTCACAAACCATCCTTCGAAAACAATGGCAGAGATAAAGCAGGAGGATTTGAAGTCCCCAAACATGTTTTCACTTGACAATGCATGTGACAACATAGCTTCTATTGAGGTGCTGACTTAAGAAAGGACTTTGCCCACATGTAGACACCGATGGCCCAGATTAGCATGTAATTTGAGAGAAAAGGTATTTTCAGAAGTAGTTGAGTTTGGGGTAGAAATGAGCTGTTCTTTTGTAGAAGAAAAGGTCTGAGAATCAGGATCTTTGGATTCATAATTTCCCTCGGAGAAGGAGGGCCTGGGAGAATTGGGAGTGACTTAAACTGACTGATATTCTTACCAGCAGAATGATTGGGATTATGTTTGTGTTGTGGTTGAAGAACTGAGATTGAGAGAAGGGAAGACACTTGGCTAAGCCACACAGCGGTTTAAGAAGCACAAAACAAGCCTGCAGAGGTGAGCAGGGAAGAGCAGATCACATGCTGTGGAACTGAGGGGCTTTGTTTCTGTCCATCTGGGAGTGCTGGGACGCTTTTGGGATCTGAGGTGACAGCAGATGTGGTCTGTGGTAACTACCATGCTCCCCTCAGCATGGGGCACAGGCAGGCAGCAGAGAGGGTGTGGTAGGTGCCAGGCAGCAATGGTGTGGTGTGAATATACCAACGCTGAGGCTGCAGGGCAAGGACAGGTCACCTGTTCAAGGCGCTGTCATAGCCACACAAGGAACCCGATGGAAGCTTTGGCTTTCCAGCCACCGCCGGAGTCAGGAGAGGCCCGAGCAGCACTGACTCTGTCCTGTGGGTGAGAGCTGACATGCTGATTCAGGGAGCAGAGGAGGCATGAATAACAGCCCCGGCCTGAGCCAGTCTATTTGAGAGATCAGGCTCGGGGCATCCAGGAGCAACCCAAGAAAACAGAGCTAACTGCTCTTGGAGCTCCCACCCCAAGCTATCACGCCATCTGTGGGAGGAGGATGCGACCTACGGGGGAATTCCAGGGTCCTGGCATCTCCAAAAAACATGCCGAGGCCCCAGGCAGCCCTATCTAGTCTCCCCCTCAATTCCAGCACCCACTCGTTTTATCTTTTTCATGAAAAGAAAAAGGCATTTCTTCCCTGAAGGGCACCCAAGGCAAGGCTACCTTTCTTCATTTCCGAGCACATTTTGACAGAATGTCCTGTTTCTTGATGTGTTATACACCAACATCCTTGCTGTAAGTGCATTCTCAAGCACCTCCCATTGCCCAGAGAAGCTGTGTATTAGTGTAAAGTTGAACTTACCCAACTAGTGCTCCTAAAGTAGGTGAGAAAATGGGAGCCAGCCCAGAGCCCAGAGCCCTGCCTGCAGAGTTAAAATTCCACCATACAGGGGCTGCCTTGTGTGGCTG